ACCTCTGCTAGTAGAAACTATGACAGCCCACCTCTGCTAGTAGAAACAATGACAGCCTACCTCTGCTATTGAAACAATGACAGCCTACCTCTGCTAGTAGAAACAATGACAGCCCACCTCTGCTAGTAGAAACAATGACAGCCTACCTCTGCTAGTAGAAACAATGACAGCCTACCTCTGCTAGTAGAAACAATGACATGGGCTGTCATAGTTTCTACTAGCAGAGGTGGGCTGTCATAGTTTCTACTAGCAGAGGTAGGCTGTCATTGTTTCTACTAACAGAGGTGGGCTGTCATTGTTTCTAATAGCAGAGGTAGGCTGGTCATTGTTTCTACTAGCAGAGGTAGGCTGTCATTGTTTCTACTAGCAGAGGTAGGCTCTCTGCTAGTAGAAACAATGACAGCCTACCTCTGCTAGTAGAAACAATGCCTGTACGCTGTACTGGCTGTTCCTGTCTGCCTGCTTGCTGCTGTCTCTCACCTCCTCTGTATCCGGTGCTGAGGGCGGGAGCGAGTCTGAAACAGCCAAAGATACAGTGATGATTCTAGATGTGCATGACTGTCTGTCTGTCTGTCTGTCTGTCTATCTTTCTTTCTTTCTCTCTCTTTCTCTCTCTCACTCTCCCTCTCTGTCTGTCTGTCTGCCTCTCTCTCTCTCTCTCACTCTCCCTCTCTGTCTGTCTGTCTCTCTCTCTCTCTCTCCTCCCCTCTCCTCTCTCCTCTCTCNATCCCGAATGGATACCATAATAAAAATCTAATTTCGACCCCTGTAATAGTATCTACATTGGTCTGGGAGAGGACTGCCTCTTGCCACCCACTAGCATAATTTATAAGACATTTTTTAGTCTTGGTTTTCTTTAATCGACGTTTGTTCCTTGCATTTAAATCCGACAAGAGAATGATAGTCTACCATGTAAATGCTTCGACACGGCCTGCCAAAATGCCCAGAACCTCTCTTCTAGAAGCGTCAGTCTGGCAAAGGTAGTCGGGATTTGGTAGGGACAGTGCAGTAGAAGTACGCTATTACTTCAAGAGCTACAGGCTTGGTAAAACCATTGTAGTTCTACCTCTACCGGAACTACACACCGAATAGGCAGCAGTGTGGCTTGCAAACCTCACCACTAAATTGACACGAATACAACGCGAACGTTACGTGGCAGTGCTTTAACGACGTTAAACCACCGGCGCCCTCCAGTGAGCTGTGGTGTCGTTCTGCATCTGTGTTCGTCGAGATAATATATTCCCTGAAGTTGCAAACAGCAACGGCATGCAAGCGCTCATACCACAGGCACTTGAAGCGTTTCAACTGTAAACACACGCCGCCGCCATTGCGCGCACACTGACACATAAATATACACTATATATTTATGTGTCAGTGTGCGCGCAATGGCGGCGGCGTGTTTACAGTTGAAACGCTTCAAGTGCCTGTGGCTCATACTGCATCAGGTATGTGTTAGTGGTGACACACCGTAAAGCTGCCATTGCACCACCTAGCATCAGCCAGACAAGGTATCACTATTATTGTATTAACATTAGCCGACGATCATAACGTGGACTGTGGATAGCGCTTGACCATGACAGAATACTACGAGATAAAAATATTACAACCCGATAAGAAATGGTAATAGCTTGTATGATATTGATAGGTGAGCGCTGGCCACAACTGCACAAGTTACCTTCTCGCTTCTCACTTCGTCAAGCCTGGCCTAGTCCGAGTTTCCTCTGACCAATGCCCACACCGACGATTTTGGTGGATTTGGTGTGGGTTAGGCGAGGGTCCTAACCTAACCCTAACCTAACCCTAACCTACACCTAACCTACACATAACCTAACCTAACCCTAACCCACACCAAATCCACCAAAATCGACGATGTGGGCATTGGTCAGAGGAAACTCGGACAAAACATGGCCAGGCTAGGTTGTGTTCAAATGGGTTACAATACAACTACGTAACAATCTTACCGTTAGATGTGGGCAGTCACGAGTCCTAATAATAATGCCACGGAAATACTACTACTACTATTAATATGTGTTAGTTGAAAGTGATTAGTATTCTGAATGCGTAACGTATTTCTGGGTCGGCTGGGGGATGTTACAAGGTACGATAGTTGAACAGATGTGCTAACCCGCGTTGTCTTCCCTCATTTATCTTAGAAATCAAGCCAACCAAAGGTCTACTAAAGGCTCAAGAGCACTGAACATACATTCGTCTACGAAATTCCACTCACCGTTTACTCGAGTACGCAAAGGATTCCGAATCTTCTGCGGTTTTCTGGCGAGTTTTCTGAAATAATCTCGCAATGACAGCCATGATACAATCATGTGACAGAGCGCCAATGACTTGTAACGTCGTCGGTGATTGGCCAACGCGGGGAAAGCGGGGGTGTTCGTTTATGGCACAGCTGATTGGTTGTCTATGGCGAGGGACGCAAGCGGAACTTCGATCTCGCGAAGAAATAAATACCGCCGTTGATCTGACATCGGATTTTCCACACACGTCCTTCGGCCATTGGCCAAACCTGTGCTTATTAGAGCGGAAAAAGCGAGAAGAGAAAGATACGAGGAGGCTGTGGGCGGATTTAGAGATTTTAGCTCGTTCCCGACTACCGGCTCCTGCGTGATTGTGAGTTACTCTAGGTCGGTGTGGGCTCTCCGGCTTCCGTGTGCGCCTGAGCTGGCGGTATGGTCGTACCGTCTCGCTACTGTTTGACATGTGGATAGATGGCTGATTAGAGGGCGCGAGGGGACTCTCGCTGATAGAGTATCGTTCCTTAGTTGCATTCTACGCTAGAGATGGAGGCGTGTGCCACGCCGGTGCGGCTGTGCTTGCCAGCGGTGCTGTCAGGTGATTTTTTTGTTGTCTGCTTAATTGCCCGCGTCCAGGTGCTCCGTCTCGTGTATTATGGGTCTCATACCTTCTTTTAGTTTAGAGAGACCGATTCTTAGACTACGATGCGACTTCTCGTTCTTAGACCCGGTCCGTGTCGCCTGACCGCACGTCGATTCTCCCGTGCGGGCGCGCGGATAGAGAGCGAGAGAGGGAAGACGATGAGACCGATTGCGAGAGAGAGGAGGCAGTACGCGGCAGCTCCGAGGGAGGAAAGTATGCAGACGATGACGAGAGGAGACGGAGATATCTATGAAACATGAAACGCCAGACGCCAGCGTGGCGTCTCCCGCCAGAAACGCGTGACGGAGACGACCTCGGTTCTACTAGTACTATACCGCCTTCTTTTATCGCTGCCTCTTGATATATACTATATATATATATATATAATATATATATATAGAGCAGGACGGAGAGAGTGACTGAACGAGGGAGAGACGTCTCAATCGAGACCCATGATGCAGGATGCAGACCGAGATGGATGAGAGAGAGAGACGAGAGAGACCTAGACGAAGAGAGAGAGAGAGAGAAAGGATGATGGAAAGAGAGCGAGTGGGTGGGCGACGAAGAGGGCGGTGACACTCTCATGAGCACACTCGGTCACAGTAGTTGTACGATTTGCTTCATCGAGTGGAGAACTGCTGCCCTCTGGTGACAAACTAAAGCAAAAATCTGCGTGCAATGGACACCGAGCTGGAGTCTGTCGGTGATGACGGTGCTAACGTAAATAATTCTACGCGTGTTAGCATAATATGTGTGCATACATCTCTCTATGACTCTCTCGCTCTCTTTCTCTCTCTCTCTCATGCGTGCGTGCGTGCGTGTGTGTGTGTTTGTCTTTCTTTCTCTCTCTACCCGTGTGCACGTGCGCGATAGCATACCCGCTACGGACGGGCACTCACTCACGGGCAACAACATAACTGCTCATCAAATCAAACACGTCACTCATCTATTTAATAAAAGAGCATCACTCTATACGCTCACCGTGAAAATAATCACAGAAACATCATCGCGTGACAGCAAAAATTGTAATTTGTATTTTGTTTTTATGTATTTGTGAAATTCATATTAAAAAAAGAAATTTTTTTTCCCTCAGATTTCTCAGAAACAGCGAAGGATTGAGACCTAATCGTTTAGCCGTATGTTATTCATTATATATATTCCTAGTGTGAATTGTATCAACGATAGTGAATATCAACGAGCAATAAAAACTGAAATGCATAACATTATTTTGTTTAGCTCAAGATACAAACATATGTTTAATAATGATATGTATACTGTATATCTATATATCTGTATATCCTAATTTCCATTGAACATGAATTTACAAAAGAACATTTTAAGGAGGATCAATGATATCGATGTTTATACAAGGTGGTCAAGTAAACATTTCTTCCAGTGAAAATTACTTATTAACAATGCCAGTGAATTTAGCAAATATAAAAATAAGAAGCTTATTTAGACAATGAAAATGTAGGATGAAGCGTCGAAGGTTGATTGCTATGCAGTTGATTTAGAATTTAGCTAATAAAAACACGAGCAGCTGATTTTGACAATGAAAATATAGGATGAAGCCCTAATCGAAGGTTGACTGCTATGCTGATGTTTGTTGCCTTAATTGCGATAAACCTGAAAATAGATACGTATGCAAATCTAAGTTTTACATTATGAGGAACCCCTCCAAAAAGGAGCAAAATTAATTACCGTTATTGGAATTTGTACAGTGAGAAAACCATTTTGGTGATACGTATATACGTTCTATCTAATGAAATATAACTGGGCTGTGCTTTTCATATTAATCATAATAAAGTTTAATTAAATTAATCATAAGTTTATTATACTGTTCAGATTAAACTCATTATATAAGAGAAAGGGAGTACTTATATACTTATAAGTTTATTTATTTAACTTCTTTGCATGTATAGTGCTTACCTCGGGTCTATGGTACAATTAGCCTGCCATAATATACTGTAGATGTGACTGTGATGTCCCAGAGGTAGGTGAGGTCACCTTTCCAGCCAGCAACAAACAAACACTATGTATTAGTAGGTATAAAAAATACAAGATACACACATGCCAGCGACTAGTGAGTGATTTTTTGATGTCCCAGAGGTAGGTGGGGACACCTTTCCGGCAAACACCAAGCAAACACTAATGTATTAAGTGAGTATAAAAAATACAGAATACACAGCCATGCCAGAGACTAGTAAATTGACTTAGTAAGTTTATTGATGTCACAGCAATGCGGGTGCGCCCTTGTGTGGCCAACAGTCGCACCGGGGGCATCCCAGGAACCTATGGCATATAAGCACATCTATATTGAAATCACAATCGAATACTGAGATTATTGGAAATGGGGAGGTCCGCATCTTCTGCCTGCTGCCTGCTGTGTCCTTTTTGCGGTGGGCGGGTCAGGTTTCTATGCAGGGTAGTGCATCCATGAGGGACCTCCATCATTACTTCTCCCTAAGAAACTCCAGAGACGATGACGGGCAGAGGACGGAAAACGCTCGTGGCTCGCCATTTTCTTTACCCGATCAATACCTTTAAGTGCGGTCGAGCGCGCCCAGCGCAGCTGGTGACCAATGCGCTGGTGACGCGCACCGCGTGAACTACATGTTACCGTATTCTGTTTAACGCGTGCCAAAGCACATTGCGTGGTTATTATCGAACTCTACACCGCGCCACGTGGTCGTGAGCGTCACTACGCCTGTTACGAGGTGTACGTGGAATACCACGATCGTCTGCTAAGCTTGGGCGGCCACGCGTCCGATGCCGAGTCGATCACTTCGTACTGGACGGCGTGGCGTATCTCGGCTGCCTCGTTCCGTCGTAGAATCGTGCTGAAGAAGAAGAATCATGAGCGGATATTATGGGTTTTCGGCTGCGGCCTGGAGCTAATTCTGCCTCCTCGTCCGTCGTAGAATCGTCTGAAGAAGAAGAAATCATGGCGGAATATTATGGGTTTCGGCTGCGTTTGAGCTAATCTGTCTCTCCTCGCCGTCGTAAGAATCGCTGAAAGAAGAATCACGGCGAATATTATGGGGTTTCGGCTGCGGCAGAGCTAATTCTGCCTCTCTCGTCCGTCGTAGAATCAATCCTGAAGAAAGAAGAAGAATCATGGCGGAATATTATGGGTTTCGGCTGCGGCTGAGCTAATTCTATCTCCTCGTCGCGTCGTAAGAATCGTCTGAAAGAAGAAGAATCATGGCGGGATAATCATGATGTTGGTTGCACCGATGCAGCAGAAGACTGCTCGCTTGCCGCAACATGGCGAAACACACGCCACTTGCATCTCTAGCGTGACCTCTGAGCGCCCTGACGGGTAGAATTCCCTGTTGATTACCTGTCGTCACATTAACCTATGCTGCGCACCCTGTCCACATATTTCGCATTGTACGGCCTCGTGCGAATGCCACGAACTTTTAGACGACAGTAGATGCAGGTACCTAAACACATTTACGTAGCTCATGACAATCCAACAAGTCTCACGTCACACACCTAACTATAACCTATATCTATATTTTACCTACTCTCTCTCTCACTCTCCTCTCTCTCTCTTAATGCTTCTCCTCTGCTATCTCTATCTTTTCCTCTCTCTCTCGTCTCTCTCTCTCTCCTTTCTTTCTCTCTCGCTCTAAATTTCTCTCTCTCTCTCTCTCTCTCTCTCATCTCTCTATCTTTCTCTCCTCTCTCTCCTCTGCTCTCTCTGCCTCAAATCTGCTCTCTCTCTCTCTCGTCTCTCTCTGCTCTCTCGTCTGAACGTCCCTAGCTCTCTCTCTGCCTTGCTTGGTTTGCGTCCTGGGCTTTCCGGCTCCGCTTCTCTTGACTGCATCTGCTTTTTCTTACCGTAGGTGGCGGGCCGTATGCGAAACACAGAACTCACCAGCGACCACTGCGCTGTAACTGGCAAGCGTTTCGTCAGAGCAACCTCGAACGACGCAACTTTCGTGAGCGTGCAAGCATTCCCTCCTAGAATGAAACGTGAGGTTGTGAACAAAACGGCTCCCAGCTTATATATGCTCGCAAACGCTTCACCTGGCGTTAAGGTGCTCACTGCTCACGTCCCGCACATTCGAGCCAGTGACGTTGGTTTCATGTTGGCAATAGTTGATATCTGTGCAGCTCAATCCGACCGGCTACTATAAATACGGTGTTTTGGCTCTGACGTCGCCATTCGATGATTTGATTTCCTGCGTGCAACTCGCTTGCGAAGCACGGCAAAAGTGTTTCCCACTGATTCCCGTCGGGGCGATATATTTGCACAACATTTACGAGCTTTTCTGCGCGATGATTCAGCAACTTAAATATTCGACACAAGACATAACTAGGTTTACTGCTTAGATAATTTTTCCATTAAGAGAACATCGTGCGTAAAGCATTTGCAACAATTACCGTACTCGGATGTTCGATTCTCCTCGTCACTATGCTAACATCATACGTATCCTGAAGTTTCAATTGCGTTCCTTCTCCTGTGATTTTGTTTAAATTTTCGCGCGCTATCTCACAATTACGGCTGGGGGCGAGAATAGAAAGAGGGCGAACAAGAAAGAGGGCGACACAAAGAAAGAGGGCCGACAAAGAACGAGGAGCGAACCAAACAGAAAAGAAAGAGGGAGGGAGAAAGAGCGAGAGAAACAAAAGCAGTCCGAAAGAGAGACACATGTAACGACTAACGAGGGAATAAGTGAAAGTATAATGTTGGGAGAGAGGGCATTAGAGATAGGGAGAAAGATAGAGCAGTGGGCGAGGCGCGGAGGACACGCGTGGGGGGGGGGGAACGGGGAGCAATGGAAAGTACCGCCGCGGTGCGCGGGGCCGACCGGGTGGGCCCGCGGCCACCCCCAACTGGATGGGCTTATATTACATAGAGCTACAACAAACGAGGGACGCGGCCCTGGCTCGCCGTGGTCACGGCCCGGCGCGCCCCCGGGGCGCGCCCCGCGGCCGCGTGCGGCTACGACAGCGGCGCCGGGCCACGCATTTGCACAATTTTTCCTTTTGGTCGCACAAAACCGGAATTGAAATTTGCAATCCTTTTCAGACGCATTGGGCATCTCATCTCGCGGTTCGGTGCCATCATTTCTGCACTCTATATGACGGCCGAAATTTGCCCCCGGACCAGTCCACGCCCAAAATTCCGAGAAAACTGCTCGTTTTGTTACACGAGAAATATGTGCAAATGGTATGTCGGGGTTACAAGATTGATAATGAATAAGCATATAAACAGCATGTCTTAGTGTACGTAGCTATGGGCTTTCTACTGTGAATTTTGAATTTTGAATTTTGAGGGGGGGCGACGAGAGAACAGTTAAAGGCAAAGGCTGATAAAATAAATAAAGGGATAGAGATTTTGAGAGACGCACGGTCAGACAGTGGGGAGGGGCAGATGATAGAGGGAGTGGACGGTGACAGGGGGTGGAATAGAGTGGATAAATTAAGTATGGATGCACATGAGTGGAAGAGTTCTTAACGGTATAAAAGATATTCAACGTTTATCAATACTAATCGCGGTACTGATTAAGTACGTATACAGTATTAATGTGTATCCCTCCCTAAATAGATAGAGAGATAGAAAGATATAAATATATATGTTATATATGAGCATGAGATAGAGAAAGTAAGAAGATATATATATAGAGAGAGAGCGAAGACAGGAGAGTATATATGAGGAACAGTAAACAATTCTATTCTATCTACGTATCTAAAGTTTTCCCGCGGTTCAGGGAGCACGCGCGCCACAATTAACAATCAAACCCGAACGANGTTTTTATGTATTTGTAAAATTCATATGAAAAAAAGAAGAAAAGGTCTTTCCCCCAGATTTCTCAGAAACAGCGAAGGATTGGAACCTAATCGTTTAGCCGTATGTTATTCAGTATATATATATTCCTAGTGTGTATTGTATCAACGATAGTGAATATCAACGAGCAATAAAAACAGAAATGCATAACATTATTTTGTTTAGCTCAAGATACAAACATATGTTTAATAATGATATGTATACTGTATATCTATATCTGTATATCCTAATTTCTATTGAACTTGAATTTACAAAAGAACATTTTAAGGAGGATCAATGATATCGATGTTTATACAAGGTGGTCAAGTAAACATTTCTTCCAGTGAAAATTACTTATTAACAATGCCAATGAATTTAGCAAATATAAAAATAATAAGCTGATTTTGACAATGAAAATATAGGATGAAGCCCTAATCAAAGGTTGACTGCTATGCTGTAGTTGGCTGCCTTAATGCGATAAACCTGAAAATATATACGTATGCAAATCTAAGTTTTACATAATATAAGCAATTATTATGAAGAACCCCTCCAAAAACGAGCATTAAATTAATTACCGTTATTGGAATTAGTACAATGACAAAACCATCTTGGTGATACGTATATACGTTCTATCTAATGAAATATAACTGGGCTGTGCTTTTCATATTAATCATAATATAGTTTAATTAAATTAATTATAAGTTTATTATACTGTTCAGATTAAACTTATTATATATGAGAAAGGGAGTACTTATACTTATAAATTTATTTATTTAACTCCATTGCATGTATAGTGCTTACCTCGGGTCTATGGTACAATTAGCCTGCCATAATATACTGTAGATGTGACTGTGATGTCCCAGAGGTAGGTGGGGTCACCTTTCCAGCAAACACCAAACAAACACTATAATTATGTATTAGTAGGTATGAAAAATACAAGATACACACGTACATACCAGCGACTAGTGAGTGATTTTTTGATGTCCCAGAGGTAGGTGGGGACACCTTTCCGGCAAACACCAAGCAAACACTATGTATTAGTAGGTATAAAAAATACAAGATACACACATGACAGAGACTAGTAATTGACTTAGTAGTTATGATGTCACAGATGGGTCACCTTTCTGGCCAACACACGGGGGCATCAGGAACCTATCTGCAATATAAGCATCATCTATATTGAAATCACAATCAAATACTGAGATTATTGGATCACCAGCCTGCGCTGGGCGCCTCGACCGCACTTAAAGTGATTGTCGATGTAAAGAAAATGGCGGCCGCGAGCGTTTTCCGCTCTGCCCTGTCCATCGTCTCTGAGGTTCTTAGGGAGAAGTATAATGGAGGCCCTATGGATGCACTACCCTGCATAGAACACTTGACCCGCACCGCAAACAGGACACGGCAGGCAGCAAGGCAGGAGATGCGACATCCCCATCCAATGCGGCTGGTGACCCACCGTGAACGTATTGTTACCGTTATTCTGTTTAACGCGTGCCAAGCACATTGCGTGGTTATTTCGAACTCTACAGCGCCACGTGGTCGTGACGTCACTACGCCTGTACGAGGTGTACGTGAATCCACGATCGTCTGCTAGCTTGGGGCGGCCACGCGTCGATGCGGAGTCGATCACTTCGTACTGAACGGGCGGTGGCGGTATCTCGGGCTGCTCGTTCGTCGTAGAATCGTCTGAAGAAGAAGAATCATGGCGGAATATTATGGGTTTCGGCTGCGGCTGAGCTAATTCTGTCTCCTCGTCCGTCGTAGAATCGTCTGAAGAAGAAGAAGAATCATGGCGGAATATTATGGGTTTCGGCTGCGGTTGAGCTAATTCTGTCTCCTCGTCCGTCGTAGAATCGTCTGAAGAAGAAGAAGAATCACGGCGGAATATTATGGGTTTCGGCTGCGGCAGAGCTAATTCTGCCTCCTCGTCCGTTGTAGAATCGTCTGAAGAAGAAGAATCATGGCGGGAAATCATGGATTGTGGTTGCACCGATGCAGCGGAAGACTGCTCGGCTGCCGCACACATGCGACACACCCACTGCATCTCTACGTGACCTCTGAGCGCCTGACGGTAGAACTCCCTGTTGATACCTGTGTCACATAACCTATGCTGCCACCTGTCACATATTTCGCATTGTACGGCCTGGTGCGATGCCCGAACTTTTAGACGACAGTAGATGCAGGTATGCACATTTAACGTAGCCATGACAATCACACAAGTCTCACGCACACACCTAACTATATCTATATCTATATTTACCTACTCTCTCTGTCTCTCTCTCTCTCTCTCTCTCTCTCTCTCTCTCT